ATTTTTTTTTAAAAATTTTCATGCATAACAAAATCTTTCAAGATGAAATATTTGAAGAATTTATTTCAAGCACTGTCACAATCACAATCATTTTATTTTGTAAAAAAAAATTTAACAAGTAAATTTCTCCATCATTCATTCTTTAAGCGCATAAGCCTGTGTTGTTAAAATCAATAGAACCAGGAAACCTGCGAAGGGGTTGGGGGATAAATTTTTTTTAAAGATTTTTAATTAATTACAAAAAAAAACTTCTAATTTTAATTTTGTATAGAAAATCTTATTTTTATTTTCCATAAAGTTTTATTTACTATCATTATTAAATGAATTTAATAAATTTTATTTTGTGAAAGATAATAATAAAATAAATATAAATATTTTTTAATGTATAAAATGTGTTTCTTCTTATTTCTAAAAATAACAATATTCATATTACGACATTTAAGTCAGGTTCTTTTGCTTCTATTATTAATAGCATGTCTTTCATTACACTCGATCAAAGAACTGTAATCAAAACAAGTGTGGGGTTGGGTTATAGGCAGTTCAAACGAATACCAATGATGTGAGTGAGCTGATGTGGTTGTAATTTTAAATTAAATTGGGGAATGGCTTCAAGGAATTTATGGCCGGATCCATTATACAGCGAGGAGAATAATTATTTGTTTTTAAAATATAATTCATTTTGATATCGTATATATTATTTTATATCTAAATTGAAACCAAATAAAATTAATCGCAATAAATTTCGGAGGTTATGAAAGGGGGGGGGGATTATTTTATTTCTTTAGCCTAAAAATTACACTTGGTATAATAAAAAATCAAAATTTTGAGGGGGCTCTTCAAATTTTTCATTATTAAATATTTAATCCAGGCACGTAACCAAGTGGGGGAGGAAGGGGAAAATTCCCACTTTCATCGCAAATTGGCCTGCTCCCGAGTCCAGACACGGCTCCATAAAAAGAAATATCTTACTCAATTCAAATCAGGTTTAGAAACCAAATTGAATCATGTCGTATTGTGGGTGGTCAAACAGAGCAGGTCCAAATTAATTTGGATGACAGAATAACTATATTTTATTTGGTTTCTAATTAATTTGGATGACAGAATAACTATATTTTATTTGGTTTCTAATTCTGATCTGAATGTAGTCGACTAGTTGTTTTTTTTAATTTTAGGTTGAATAAATATTAAAAATGATCATAAGAGCTAAAAATAATTATAAATAATTTTAAAATAATTTTAAATTCATTAATAGAAAGTTTTAAATGTTAGAATAATTCATTGGTAAAATCATTTTAAAAATATAATGAAGAATAAAAAATCAATAGATATGTAAAACTATCCATTATATAGTTTAAAACTATTTAACATTTGCAAATTATTATTTTAGAGGTTGTTACTCTAAGAGATATTAATAATTCTTATCGAATATAGATATTAGCCGGATCTGAACTATATCCTTTTCTGTAGTATTTAAAATTTTTAGTATTTGTTATTATATTTCTCATAAATATTTAATCATGAAAATTATATTTGATAAATTATTAATCCAGAAAATTTCAATAAATTAAAATAACATTATTTTTTTTTTTAGAAAGTATCACATTTTGCGAGAGAACCTCTTCCATGTTTTTTGCAGATTTATAAAATTTTTTATCACCATAATTATTTTAAGTATTCTTTCATAGATTATTTTTTGCATTTATATATATTTGAAAGATCGAATAAATCTAATAATTAAAATTATTTCATCAATAAAATATGAGACCTGTCCTGCTATACTAAACTATTGTCACGCTATTAACTCTCAGCAGATAGACATGTCATAGGTAAAACAAAGTTAATTAGAGGTAGATTTGTGCTTCTACGCGCAATGCTGCCGTCACATGTGACTACACTGATATATCAAAAGCGTACACATTTTTTTAGAGGTTGCCGGCTATATAAAAATTGACAATGGCGTGACTTTGAATATTTTCTTAACTATTTAGGAATAAAAATAATATATTTAAAATAATTATTAGTCATGAGGGTTCATTTATTTATCTTAATAAAGTTGTAGAACAAAATTTCTAAGAAAAAATATTTCTATAAGTATAACTTTTATATTTAATTTTTTAATTTAAAATTAATTTGTTTTGTTAAACAGGGAAGTATATAATTTGTTTTGTTAAACAGGGAAGTATATAATTTGTTTTGCTACAATTTATGATATCGTTAAGATTGACGCGATTCCATCGTTGTATCAATAAATTTGCGAATCAATTATTATTTTCAATTTGCAAAAAATCGCAAACGCTCAAGTTGTATGTATACAAGAGAAAAAATCATTTACCACCTTAAATTTTATTATATTAATTTGAATTTAATAACCTAATAATAAATAATCTAAAAGATTTCTTTTATATACTAACCCTATCTCTATTCTAGTGGGATCTAGCAAATGCTAGAATTAAAAAGGTCATGAGAATTTTTTTTTGCTGACACCAATATAATATTTGACGTGTAACGCCCCTCCCCCTCCATACCGGGGACTTAAACGGATGCTTGCGCCAGATCTCGCAACCCTTAGTCCCCTTTGATTTCACTAGAGGCTCCTTCCCTAATATCCAATAACTTCAGGAAAACATTGAACCGAATATTTTTTTGTCCGCTTGGATTAAATCTGAAAATAAAGCCTTGTAGAGAGTCTGAAGCATGATGTTAATTAGAATTTAACTGGGATAAGTACAAAGGAATTAGTGATTCTCTATTTAACTTCCTTTTATTTGGCTAGTGTTTAAAATAAATAAATAAAATTGCTCCGGGCTCCCCTTTAGAGCATAAAATTTTCAGGCTATCTCACACCATTTACACCTAACTTAAATGTTATCTAATCATCTTACCATTTTAACGCATCATATATCGTTACTTAGAGTCATAAAAATAATATAAATTGATTTTAATATATTTTAAATTTTCTTATAAACTAGTAATTTTTCCTAAATAACGATTTTTACGAATGGTTACTATAACAAGCTATAATTAAAAAAAAAGGTATCACGTCAATTCGGTGCAGAAAATTCACGACAATTCAGCGCATAAAATTCGGCGTGGCGACAATTCAGCGCTCGTCAATTCAGCGAGGCGATAATGCAGCGCAGCGTCAATTCGGCGCGGCTTTCACATGTTGTACTTCTTGGTATGTTTTTCAGAGACCTGCTGGTCCGGCCCCTGAAGCGTCAATTCGGCGCGTATCTATTACAGTTGCAATTTATTATATATTACTTAGTATAAAAAAATAAGGATGAATAAATAGAAATCATTTTGAATGTTGGTTCTATTAATTATTTCTTCATATTTATTTTTACAAAAATCTCAATTTTATTTACTAAATGTGTAATATCAAAAAAAAATTAGCAACCAATATTTATACCTATTTCTTTGGTTGATCAATTTACCACATAAGGTATGTTGATTAGTAATCAATGTTATGTAAGCCGAGATTTTGGGCATAGATGAAAGAAAGAAAAAGAAAGGTTTGGACCTCTATTTCGAATCTTACATATTATTTTGGCTAGATTTAAATCCACCGTTTTTAAAAATAGACCCAGCCATGATCCAAAAAAAATCAAATTAAGACTGACTCATTTTTTAGATTTATTAAAAATCCTTAAATTCTTTTATCCTTTTAAAAAATATTATGCTTAGGCTAATTTTTTCTATTATATAAATCAAAAATTAAATGTGTAATTTCAAAAAAAATTAACAACCAATATTTATGCCTATTTCTTTGGTTGACCAATTTACCACATAAGGTATGTTGATTAGTAGCCAATGGTAAGCCGAGATTTGGGGTAAATTACTTATTAGGGAAGTATATTATTTTTCTAAACTTTTAAAATTTTATTTATTGTCTAAAATTAGGCATGAAAAGGGGATTTAAGATTTAACATTATAATACTTATCAGGGGGATTTTGGGTCTATTTTTAAAAACGGTTGATTGAGATTGTAGCCAAAATAATATATAAGATTAGAGATAGAGGTCAAATCTTTCTTTTTCTTTTTTCCTTCTATGCGCAAAATCCAGGCTTACATAGTATTGACTACTAATCAACATACCTTATAATGTGGTAAATTGGCCCATTAAAGAAATAGGTATAAATATTAGTTAATTTTTTTCGATATTACACATTTAGTAAATAAAATTGAGGTTTTTGTAAAAATAAATATGAAGAAATAAATTAATAATATCAACATTCAAAATGGCTTCTATTTAATCATCCTTATATTTTTATACTAAGTAATTTTTAATAAATTGCAACTGTAATAGATACGCGCCGAATTGACGCTTCACCAAATTGTCGCTTCGCCAAATTGTCCCTTCGCCAAATTGTCGCTTCGCCAAATTGTCGCTTCGCCTAATTGTCGCTGCTTCGCCAAATTGTCGCTGCGCCAAATAAATAGTCGCCGCGCCGAATTTTCCACGCCAAACGATGTGGATATTTAATAAATTGTTTGAGGATGAACAATGGCATATAATATTCGTATAGACTGATTATTAATCTTTTAAATTGAAATTTTGAAGCGTCGTTGAATTTATTATTTGGTGATACCACATTTTGATTTACTATATATTTTTTTTATTTGTTATAAATGAAAATCTAAAAAAGTTCTAATAAAAATTATTGTAATTGTTTAAATGGGAAACCATGTGCCACCATCTGATTTGTATTTATTTATACATATATAAATGAATGAATGGTCAGTTTAGTGTATTATATGTTGTTGGAGAGGTGAGATAAAGTACATCATTATTCTTGTTCTTTATAATTTCTCAAATTTCTAAAAACTTTCTTCTAGTTACTTAAGTAAGCTAGATTTTTATAATATTATTTACGACATATCAAATCATGGTTTTTATTTATCCAGTTTAATTTTTTAACATTCATTCATAAATTCAAATGCAAAATTCTTTTATCGAAGTTAATTTGATCTCATTAATACTTAAATATTTATTAATAAGGTTAAAGGCTTGAAATACTATCATAGAAAATATTGGGATTTAAATCCATTTGTAAAAGACTATTCGAAATTTTATATAATGGATGTTTTATTATTAAGAGATTACCCTGAGCATAATAGTATTTATATATTTTAATTATTAAATGATTATATTATCAATAGCTACATTTGCATATCTTAACCACCCTATAATGAAGGTAGATATACTGGGCTTTATTATTGAAATGCGAAACACCTATTCAGGTTATAGATACAGGATACAAGACAACACAGCAACAATTACTTGTTTTCATAATTTAACAGATCAATGTCAGCCACAAGGTTTATTTTTTATTGAACCATATTTCTTAAATGAGTATAGGCTTTTATTCTTTGGGCGATCTGGTCAATATAAGAGGTGTAGTGAAAAAGTCTTATACATCCTCTTATAACATTAGGCTTGATTATATAAGTAATATATTATTGCTAACCTTGTACATATATATTTATAAGCTTTATCACAATTTAAGGAAAAATTAACAATGTTGAAGCAGAATGTATCAGAGCATTTGAAATGGAAAATCTTTATCATCATTATGATATACCCTTCAGAATCACCAAAAAGCAATTTAAACTACGTGAAAAAAATAAATATATAAGTAAAGTGCATGCTACAAAGTGCAATGACATAGTTGATTTGCCAATACCGGTATTTATTGATGAATCATATTACTCTAGTTCTATATTACATGATTCTAACAATTGGTCTACCTTATCTCTTAACAGTAACGTGGATTTACAAGAGAAATATGTAGAAGATATTTTTTATAGTAATATAAATACCAATTCAACTCCTTTGTTAGAGAAAAATGTAAAAAATTTAAATATACCAAATATTACGCCATTTACTAAAAACTACACTGATCATGGGAGAATTAAAACTCTGGAAAATTCTCAAGATAGTTTGCATAAGGTTTCAACCATTCTATTTAATGATCCAGATCAACACTTACATATGACAGATAATCATTCAAATAATACAATCAACAGCCAAACTCTTATTATGGATAATGCTAAAATCATAACTACCAGCTCCAAAAATTCTAGTTATTTAATAGAAAGATTACAATTTAGTTTTGTAAAACGTTTGGTTAAATCATTACTGAACAAATGTGTTATTAATTGGCTCAAATATGGTAAAAGGACTGACCAATCTTTATTTATAAGTGATATCAATTTTTATAGGCAAGTGTTAAGACTTGATTTAAATTGCCCTGAAAGGTGCAATGATAATTTTTATTTAAAAAAACGAGTCTATAATGATTTTACAAATATCGTTAAAAAGAAGTTAAGATACATTCACAACAACTGTTGTTTAAGTAATCAGAGAAATTTTTCTACCTTTAATTTAGAAAATGGGGGAAAAGTGACTCCTGACATTAAAACATTTACATTTAAGAGTGACTCTTCAAAATTATTCCATGACTTTAAATTTCTTGCAGATGACAATTTAGTATCTGAGGATAAAAACAAAGATGAGGTTTTAGATGAATCACTCATAGATGTTCATTTTACTTATGAGAAAAATTGTTTTGACCAAATCAATGAAATCATTATGAGAATTACGGAAAACAAAAATGATTCAAATACAATTGTTAATGAGCAAATATCAGACTCTATGAACTATGACATACACATAATTCAGATGATAGATGAAATTCTGTCAAAATTATCCAATCTAGGAATACTAATTAGGTCTCGAAAAAGTTATCCTTTCTTACAACTAGATAATGGAGGCAATACTCACAAATATTTAATAACAGCAAAATTGTCCTCTGTTAAATATTAACAAAGATTATTATATATTTTTTGTTTGTTTTAAATTTATCATAAATTTGATGAACTGATATTGTAAACTTAATGAAACATGAGAGATGAATTCTTTTTTAAAATTTAATTTTTAAATATGAATTGCTAAATAATATTTATATTTAAAGCTAGTTTTTTGACTACTTGTATATACTTACATAAATACGAATTGAATATTTGCATTATACATATTCGATTCATATTTTTGAATTGGATAATTTTATACTCATACTAATAAAAACATTCTATTTGGTTTGTCAAATATTAGATTCGAAAATTAAATTCTTTAAAAATATTTAAAAAATAAACTATTAAAATATAATAATTTTAGAAAAATATAAGTTCCATAAGGAACATGTTTAATATTTAGGAATGAAACACAAATTATTTCAATTGATATGATACCTAATAATTCGATCGAATAATAGGTAGAAAATGATTTCACATGATTATTGAATCTAATAATTTTTCACGAATAATTTGTTTTAGATATATTTATTAAACTTAAGAACAGCGATATTTTAGTTAGACACTTTTTTCCAGAAATAGATTGATCTGCAGCCGAACCAGTGCTTGCGGGCATGGTAAATAATAGAGTCTCGTACTAGACCTTTTATTTTTAAATTTCTACATGATCCAAGGAAAAAATTTCTGACAAATCTAATACTAGTTTTTCTTCTTCCAAGGTCTGATCCAATCATTTATTTTTATTATTTGAACTTTTGAAAATTATAAATATGAAAACGGTAAAATTGTAAACCCTGAAGGATATAAAAATTTAATATTATTTTTAAAAGGAGTATTTATATTTATAAAAAGTGGGGTGTCGAACCGTAATTTATAACAGATACATTTCCTTTTCGGTTCTCATTTTAAACTTTTAAAACGCCTTTGTTTCTATTCAGGTTATTTTTGTTTCTATTCAGGTTATTTTTGAACAAATTTATAATAGCATTCTGATTAAATTTTTATCTCAGGTTCGTTTTCAGTGTGAAAAACTTATAAAATTAAAAATAATTTAGATTTATTTATTTTGATATAAAATTTAAATAGGAAATAACGAATTGTAACATAACAAATGATAATATATTAATGCCATTGAGCATAACAAACATATGGGTTAATTCCATGACAAATCAACAAGTAAAACATGATTTTTAACACAATCCCTTCGGATTTTTCTAAAATTTTTGCAAGAGTTTATATATATTATAACTAAGAAAGAAATACAAATTTAGCCTCCAACCCCAAACAGTGGCTGAGATATGGACCTCAAAGAAATATGACATTTTAGGCAAAATGTACTCCCTTTAACTTTTGGTATCTTTGGATATAATTGAGCTAGAAGCTTCATTAAATTTTTTTATATAGCCTAATGGTAGATTTATAAAGTTATAATGTTAAAAAAATTTTAAATTTTAAAAAGCGAAAATGATTATGAAATTTTTTTTAGTTGGGCCGAGCTTAAGTTTAGGAGATATGACATTTAATCTTTGTTCTATTGCAAATAATCTATAAATATTTGATATATCAATATAAGTCAAAACCTATATATATAACTAATTTGTATATATCTAATTTATTTTTGTTGATGATTTATAAAAATGTGTAATATCAATTGCGTAGATTTAACCGTTTTTATTTAAATAAATCATAAGGTTCTATGATACAACAATAGACGCGCCCTCCTGCATTGCCCCTCCTTAGGATTTCTCTCCAATACCAAATCATTTCTTAAAACGTGAAGCTAAATACCATTAAAGTAACACGTAGGTTATTTTTTTGTAAAAAAATAACTAGAATAATTTGATATAATATTCTCCTGGAACTAAACCAGTTACAATATTAAATATTGGTAGATATGTATATACATATTTATTCTTTAGATTAATAGACAAACTCAGGAATAACGGGAGGAATGAAATAAAAATTATCTCAGATATTTTACCACCAAAGCTCTTACATGATATTTCTTTCATTATCCAGCAAACTTATGAGCGAGTCCTGTTTAGTTCTTCTAGCTCTAGTTATTTCAGTCTGGGTATTCTATTGCTTAAAAATACATTTCCCATTATAAATCCACCTCCCTTCGTAAATACATTCCCCAAATACCCAACATGTCTTGTATATATTTTTTAAATATGCCAAATTTCTCATAGTAAAACCGCGTCAGTATTTTTTTCTTATTTATCGTCACGAAATATTAAGAGTTTTAGTGTTGAATATTTTGAGCCATATTCGATTAAGATTAAATAACGATTATCTGTCTGAATATTTTCTTTTAGCCTACTCCGTTAAAATATTTTAAAAAACGACCATTCTTATTTTAGCAGACAAAAATATTATATCATATTTTAGAGATCAATAACATTATTTTTTAAAAATTTTAGATAATAATAACAACTGTTGGAATATTAATTTCCCTCGAAAAACACCATAGAATATACATATTGCATACAAACCGATCATGATAAAATATATTTAGTTAGGTAGGTAGATATACAATTTAAATGTAACACAATATTACAACAATATTTTAGGATCTAAAATTTGTGTAATTTTTTTTTATCACGTTTTATGAAAGATAGATTTATTTGAATGCTTATAAATATAAGAATAGACGGTGAAAAGAATCTATGAAAACATTTGTTAAAAGAAAGATAATTTCTGAGAAGCATAATATATAGGAAATACAACAGAGTTTGAATAGAAAATTCTGTATGACTTTAAGGAAAGTAAAAATGCTAAATGATAGTGTCAACTAGAGGTGGGCGCGCTTGAAATTACGCGTGACCCATCGTGTCACGGTGGGTCACGACGTGAGTGGAATAAATTTTAAATTATTAGGCGTTACGGGCCTTCCCAAAATTTTTCCCGGGCGTGAACATGAACCGTGAATCACGGAAATTTTAATTTTTTTTTATAAATATAAATTTGCAATTTTATGATTATAATACATATTTTCTAATTTAATTTGGTTCTTTTTTAAAAAAGAAAAAGTTTTGAACATAAAATATTCAGGCATTTTATAAACAACATCTGGTGTCACGCTCCTAGTTCTATTTTCTTTTTATGTTTAGGTGTTTTGTCGCGAGATTTTTTACTTAAACTTTAAAATTTATTCTCAAGCACTTAAGGTAGGCTTAATTCTAGATCCTAATTTCAAAAGCCTTAAGTTTTAAATAGACGAAGAAAAGGAAGTTAATTACAAAACAATCTTAAAAATGTGAAATGATATAAAATTAGATGATATGCATAAGTCAATGCCAACTGTCATTTATAACTTTCCTAATTCATCCTACATTCATAAAAAACCATATATTCTAAATGAAACATATTTCTACCGATGAAAGTTGTGTGAATTTAAAAGATTCATCCCATAAAACAAATAATAATGTCAATATTTTGAAGTTTTGGAAGGAGGAAAATTTATTTCCTTTTTTAAGAAAATTAGAGAGTAAAATTTTGTCAGCCCTGGCAAATTCGGCTTCTAGTGAAAGGTTATTTTCTGAAGCCAATCGCCTATTAGAGGAAAGGCGTACACAATTGAAATAAAAAAAAATAGACATTCTGCTTTTTCTAAGTAAAAATTTGGATTTATAATATGTATTTATTTTTTGTTATTATGGATTATGTAGAATAAATTCAAAAAAGTGTAAAATATTATACCATTAAAGTTTTGAAAAATTTAAAAACACCATGAATTTTCGGGCGTGAATCTAAATATTGCCTTTCGTGGGGCGGGTCGGGTCGAAAATTTTTTAGTGTGGTAAGCGTGAATATTTTTTAATGCCACCGTGAGCGGGCGGGCCGTGAATAAAAAATTAGGCCCGCTCCCACCTCTAGTGTCAACCATGGTTTGGTGTTTTGGGTATTGATCAGGTTATAGAGATAATTAGTGATATATATAATTAGAGATGGACTAGGTAGGAACGAGAATGGGAAGAGCTGGTGCCTCAATAGCGGCATATATTTGATGTTCATCTTATACAACTTTTTAAATTTAATAGTTATTTAATTATGTCAATCTTTTTGGGAAGAAATGTCTTGAAATCTTGGGGTTTAAGGATATTCTTTTAATCCAAAAATGACAAAATTCAAACGATTTACGATTTTTGCGCATCAAGAATATTTTACGGTAATATAATTTTTTTATGAATGTTAATTTTTTCAAAATATCGATTTAACTTTGATATCCTCACATAAGGCCACTGAATTATTTATACTTCATGATGTCTTAAAAGCGTCTTCGATTCATTTAATCTTAGAGAGGATTAGGGCAGTAGATATAAAAAGGGGAAGCCACCACCCCAAAAATTTCTGCCACTAAATATAATTGGGCCCCGGAAATGGCCTTCAAAAATATTTCCGGGCCTAAATCTAAAAAAATATTAGTTATTAAATTTTTATTCGTCAATAACCATTAAATCTAAATGAAAAAATAATAAAATACAGAAAAATATGGCTGTTAAAAAATGAACTTTAAAGGTCATTTAAATTCAATATGATTTTATAAGAATCGTAATATAAAAAGGACACAGAAATCGACAATTTGGGTGAGCTATTAACATGGGCTAAATCGATATTATTTAAAATTAATATTTGATTTGATTAATTTCTCAGCATAGAAATAATTTATTTAGAAATTCTTCCTGCTGAAAGAATTGCATTTAAAACAACTTAATGATTTAAAGATTAATTCTTCAAATATAATAAGCCAGGAGTATGATGGTGCAAATGCCATGTCTATTTAAGAAAATATGATCTATGGTTACAAAGGAACATATGCTTAGAGCTAAGATCTGTAGATCAGAAAAAGAAACTGTAAACAAATGAAATTTCTCGGGGGAAAGGGCAAGAAGGCTCAAATCGCATCTCTGATAAATGAGATTGGATAGCTAATACCGGAATGTTCAATAATAGCTTAAGATCATTCAGGTTTATTCGTATAAAGGGTTAGACCTCTTCACAGAACACTTA